TGTCTTTCATTGTTTCACGAAGGCTTGAAGAACACCTACTCAATAACAACCTGCTTGAACCCTTCCAGACTGCTTACAAATCAAAACATAGCAAAGGGACTGCACTTGTTTGAATCCATAACGATGTCATGAGGGCAATGGACCAGCAGAATGTAACCCTGCTAGTCCTTCTTGATTTATCATCAGCCATCGACATCCTAGACCACACGATACTGCTTTCTCACTTGGAGGAAAGATGCAGTGTTACAGGAAAGGCTCTTTCTTGGATCAAATCCTACCTGTCCGCCAGAACTCAGGTTGTCAAGATTGGCAACATTACCTCACTTCCGAGAATAGGTAACATTGGTCTTCCGCAGGGTTCAGTTCTGGGCCTTTGCTTTTCAGCATATATATCCTTCCAATAGGTGATATAATCAGGAAACATGGTTTGATGTTTCATCTCTATGCTGACAACAATCATATCTATGTGTCTATAAAGCCATCTGAAACCGCTACTGGAACCAGTCAAATTGAAGACTGGATGAGGGAGGTTAGATGCTGGATGACTGTCAATTTTCTCAAATTAAATAACAGTAAAACAGAATTTCTACTACTTGGTTCTAAACAGCAGCTTTTGAAAGAGCCTGCAGGTCTTTCACTTAACAATGGCAACAGCAATGTCAGAACGACTCCATCTTTAAGAAATCTTTGAATCATATTTCAATCCAGCATGTCCCTTGAAAAAAATGTCAAGAACTTGAGCAAAACTTGCTTCTTCTACATTCACATCAGTAAAGTAGCCTAGTGGTTAAAGCGTTGGCTTGTCACGCCAAAGACCCCGGGTTCGAATCCCCACATGGGTACAATGTGTGAAGCCCATTTCTGGTGTCCCCCGCCGTGATGTTGCTGGAATATTGCTAAAAGCGGCGTAAAACCAAATTCAGTCAGTCAGTCAGTCACATCAGTACAATCCGACATCTTCTTGACCATGAAACGACAAACTTCTTATGCAGACTCTCATCACATCTCGACTGGATTATTGTAACTCCCTTTTCTTCCATATTCCTTCATCTGATCACAAAGTAACAGCGAATCCAGAATGCAGCAGCAAGGGTTGTTATGTGCATGCCGCAAACTGAACATTTAACACCTATCATGAAGGCCATCCACTGGCTGACCATGAATTTCAGGATTCAGTACGAGCTGCTTCTTCTAGCCCAAAACTGTGTCTATGATGAATCATCGTGTCACTGTCTCAGAAGTCTTGTCACCATATACCAACCAGCCCATACCCTCCGTTCTGTCTACCATCTTCGCCTGTCAATCCCAATCATGAAATCATCAATGGATGATTGTTACTATAAGGACGATCTCTGACAAACCTCATTTTAAGACTCTTAAAGACACACCTCTTCAAGCAAGCCTTTGACTAGCTATGCTGAATTACTTTTTCTTATATCTCATGTTCAAAGCGCCACTGAGCAACCTGTATAGATGGAAGTAAGGCGCTATAGAAATAAATTTATTTATTGTTATGTTTTACAAATTTAAAAAAGTATGCATCGGGTGATCATGGCAGTCAGGCTTGTAAGGCTCATCATCAGCTCAGGGCCCTTCCCCCACTACACGCAGCCCAAACACTGAATGGGACCTCTCCAATGAAACGCTGCCTAGTCGAACCCATCAAGTACTTTTCGGAGACTTCCCAACACTGCAGCCTACTGCATTACCCAGAGTGTCAGAAGGGCTGTGCTACCAATGGAGAAACCGGTACCAAACCAAGGGCACCAAGAACAATGGGGAGCCTTACGACAGTGTACGTGGGATGCAAGCGAGACATTTCAAAGGCGAGTCCACATATTTAGCATGCTTTTCCTGATTCTTGCCAATCACATTGCTGTCAAAAAGGACAGAAATTTCAATAACATAAATAAATTCATTGGCTTAATCAAAAAGGACAAGATATATTATTCGAAATAAAGAGACTGAACAGATCATTAGTTGTTTTGATGCAGTTTATGTGAAAAAATTGATTTTAACGATTATCCTGCCAATGTTCCCATTTAACTTCAATTCAAAATTTTTACCTTAATTCCTGCTACCATGATAAAGTTTCTTTTGCCATTTTATACCAACATCATTTGTTTATAAGGACATGAGAAAAAAGTTAATATAATGCAATTATATTTGTCAATTTATTTATAGAACGTTTTCGCTTGAAAACACATTATGGGGGCATTTTTGGTCCCTCGTCAGTTCTTTTTAAAAAATGGAAAGTATAATTTTTAAAATGTTAGAACATTGGCAATTACCTTAAAGGTCACATGCAACCAAAAAATCAAACATAATTAAAACACAATTATCACTTATTCATGACATATAATATACATTGCTGATTATAAAAAAACCCATATAAACGGAATTATAAGCGTACAATTGCAAATCAAAAGTGCAATATGTTGTACTTCGGTTTACTTCCCTCGAAATGAAGCAGCCAGGATACCGAACCCAGTCAGAGCGGGTGGTTGTGCACTCAAGTGTAACGGCTGGTTCATTTGCAGATGCCTTCACGGCTCATTGTGTGTGTGTATATAGAGATGTTGGGTTTTGTAAATACACGCTCTTTTTTGTGTATAACATTTTGCAATCAACAGACATCATAACATGTCATGTGTACAAGTATCACACCTGCCTGTCTGTGTAATTACATAATGTGACAGAGACCAAACTCGGGCCATAAATCAATGCGTTTTGTTTATGGTGTACAGCCTGATAGGTGTTAAGTTCAAATTGCATGTGGTCAGTGATCGAAGTTGTGTATTGAATATTGTCATTTTCAGACAGGCAATAAAACAGACATTGAGTTTTGTCTGTGACAACGACATATCTATATCACAGTTAGAAATTCTGTCATCGCTAAATAATGACATTGCTTTTAAGTATCAAACTTAGAAAATGACTCGGTAAGAAGTATGTGTGGTGAAATAGTCAAATGAAATAATATAAACAGTTTAATCGGTAATCTACTGTCATAACATATAAAATGCTCGCGCCTGTGAAATATCAACAAAACATTAGAAAAATAGCTCACATCAAAGCCTCCCGACTCTGAGTACTCACAGCCAGGAAAGGTTTTCCGTCTTGAAATGTCGAATGCCTCACTGGTTGACACATAGCTGAGTAGATCTAGATCTTTACAAGGTTCGTTAATGTAACAAGTAGATTATTTACTATTTTTTGGTGTACACAACCAGGATTAGACTACTCCCGCTCACGACCTTATAATCCGGGCATGTATCCTGTTTCAAGCTCCGCGATCCCATTCAGTGCACATGCATTAGGAGCGCAGCATAGCTGTTGCAACCACTTTTTTCCCCAAGAGCTGGGGGAAAATTAGTGAATCGTTTGAACTCCAATTTGAACTCCGATTATTTTTCAACTTTAGAAGTTGAAGTTGCATTTTTGATGATTTGTTTCGGTAAGCCCATACCGAAAGATATCAGAATCTGCAAAGTTGTGTTTTACGTTGCATGTATCGCACTTATAGATTAGTGTGCTGTTTCTCTCTCTAGTGGATGTCCTTGCATGAACAACACAAGTCCGTCTGAGGGTCCACAACTGTTTATTCTGTGCTACACCTTCAAGCGTAGGCTCGAACGTCTCTGCAGCTTCTCTTCCCTAGGCCTATTGCCTGTACCGTTATATACCCAGGGTTGGTCATTCTTGGTCCTGTGTCTTTGGCCCCCCTTCGCATCTGGTCAGTGATGAGTCAACCGTCTTCGCTCTCCCCATTTGCCCTTAATCCCAATTAGGCCTCTAATCATTATATCTGGACATTTAAATTACTGACCAAAATGCACTTTGCTCGATGTGTTATTTGATATGTGGGATGACTTGGCCAAAGTGTCCTTTGTCCAGTGTACTGCTGATCAGGGGCTATTGTTTGATCCCCTGTCCAGTACTATATTTAGGGGACAGCACGTGTGCCGGATTAGCGTGGGATGGCTGCTCATCTATTAGTGACCTCCCTCCCGCTGTCACTCCTATGAGTATTGCCCAGAGACAATGGCATCTCACTGACCAGTGATAGTGTTCAATTTCTTAATTTGCTTAATGAGAGGGGGCCAGCTGGGCTTCTGATATTCTACCCTGGATACATGTGACCTTTAACTTTACAAGATTTTCTGATCCAGATAAATATTCATAAGGGGCTAACTTGTAATAGGGGTGGTGGGTGTGGTGGAGTGTTTGGATTTAATTAAATGTTTCATATCTTGCTCTGCTTCTCAGGAAAGTGTAACAAACACAAAAATTGCTGTATATGTCCACACTGGGATTCACAAGGCCTGCACAGCAACAATAGGCCTAAGCAGCCCATGTCTTTATCAGGTTGAATTGAACTTCTTTGGAAATGTACACCAGAATTAGAGGTTCATCTGAATACTGTACAATATGCCATGTTAGCGTATGGATACTCTTAAAAACCTCAATGTTTATAGTCCCTCAATTATGCAACCCAAACAAAAATTACATCATCAATGCGCCAGTATGATAGAAAAAGCTAGATGTGCATGGACAAATGCATGGCTCTCATGTTTGGTGTAAAGGGCCTATAAGAAAAGATACTTACATACTCTATCACATTTTCTGCCCTCTCAGCTCTGCACAGGGAAAGATTATATAAGAGATTTAAAAGGTAAACTGCTGGTATACCCAGGCTACTAGGAGCATATAGAAAGAGCAACTCCTCCAGCTGTGTTTCATCTGGTTCGCTTGTAAAGTTGCATTTCTTGGATAAGATAAGGCACAACAGTGGAAAGTGAGACATGCAACTGTCCCTGGTGATAACATTGATGCTGTGTTTGTATTTTATGGTTGATTCAAGTTGCTTCATGGACATATTTCAGTAAATAAAGTAAAGATATCTTCCTTACATGACTGATCATAATGCCTGAGGGTGAGCAGCAAAGATTTCCGCTTATAGATAGTTCCTACAGTGTCTCCAAAATATTTATTCTCAGCACTGAAGAAAGATGGCTTTGGTGAGGAGAAGTTGTTTCACTGTATTGTGGCTGAAGAAAGGGCAAGGCCAGGAGGAGGAGGTGAGTAGAACTGAGTGTAACCAGATACATGTACAATGGTTTCTGAAAAATGTCAGTTTGTCTTAGTCTTATCTTGAATGGTCAACTGTCTGTACAGAAATGTTGAGGGTCCCTTGGACTCATATTCTTAACTTTCAGGGGTCCTGGACAACAACATGGGGGTCCCAGGCACTTATTAATATATTATTATTAATACTGTTATTTTATTGTGTATCAATGATCATCACATTGTTACAGTAATTGAATTGCAAAAAAAACCATAACCCAGCTAGTAGCAAACTCAGTGATAACTTATTGTTATTGATTAGAATTTTTGCAAAAGTATTTTGACTTTCTGAGTCCCGGTGGACGGGCTAATAAATTTGGTTGCGTCCATTGTCCATTTTTATGCATATAGGACGCAGGAATTCGGGTCCTGTAAATCCCTGCATTCTCTAATTAGTCATAATTAGAGAGTTACAGTTTTGTGTGTCTAACAAGCCATTGTAGAAGTAGAAATCAGTCATGAGAAGGTTGTGAGTTAATTTAATTATTTTCCTGAGAAAATTTGATGCATTGTGTCTGATGATAAAATCTCGGACGGATTCAACTGGTTTACACAAGGAGTAAATTCTGTGTTTCTGTTCAAAATGGTATCCATGTTATAACTGGTAGTGTAAAAATACATATTAAAGGGATATTCCACTAAAAAATAACATTCAGTATATGAAAAGCAACCAAACTATAAACATTATTAAGACACCTTGCACATTTGTATGGATACGGGTATAAAAAATATTAGATGAGAAACATCACAATTTCCGATTCCCTGGAGGTCGCCATGTTTGACATACCTGTGACGTCACTAGCACACCAACTAACTTCAAACGTCATTGTCTTGTGTGAGGAGCTCTGGAAAATTATCTCCCTTGACTAAATATACTGTAACGGGGGATAAGTTTAATAGGTGCTATGGATATTAGGAAGGGTTGGGCTGGCATTAGTAATTTAGCTGGGGGTATAAATCATACATTTTGGGTATATTAAACGGATTTTTCTTACCGGTGTTTGCGGGGACATGCGGGTTACGGCTGTCGCAGGTTGTTTGGTTTCACTTGCCGTTTCGGCACAGCGATTGGCTGCACGCACTGGAAGGTTCCATTCCAAGGTCTTATAGATCTTATGGTGGGTGACCCACCGGGGAGTTCTTCAGGTTGACTGTCCAGTCGAGTATGTCGAGTGGTTGCAGAGGTCAGTACAAAAGTGATTTGACTTTGCCAATAAAAATCTTGGAGTTTCCACTAGTCTACAAAAGAAACATTATGACATTGTGAAGAGTAAGGATTTTGTAGAAGGTCAGTGGGTTTGGCGTTGGTATCCTCCAAAAGCAGGTCAGAAGCTGGAATTGGGTTGGACTGGTCCCTATCTTGTTTGTGGGAAGTTATCATCCCTTACCTACAATACAAAAAGATAGTAGAAGATCATGCATAAGTGTACATGTGGATCACTTAAAGCTGTATGAGGGAAATGATTCACCTAGGAATTGGCTCTTGGAGCAGACTGTTGAGGACACAAGGGAGATAACTATGGAGGATGAGGAGTCATTGTCTCCTATCCAGGCATCTGGGTTTTATTCTTCAGGTAGTGATAGTGGGGAGCAAGTGCTTCATACCCGCTGTGGGAGGAGGGTCAAACCCCAGGATCTGTACTCACCTTCCTAAGGTTAAACCCAGATCCTGGGAAGACCTTTGTTTGTTTTGTTTTTAGTTATTTGTTGATGGGGTGTATTTTCTGTAGTAGAAAATGGAGATCGCAGTGACGAAAGAGGAGATTAAGGCGTTTGAGGAGAGTATGAGGGAGCCATTCCCGCCGGGAGGCATGCCTTGCCCCGTTACCACCTGTGGGCCAGCGGTGTTCCATTGATGGAACACCCTTATGGATCATTGGCAGCGGCGTCACTTGGCTGTCAGGAGATTCTACCAGTGTTCAAGATGTGGACACCGGGATAGGACAAGAGGCCACGCCAAGCATCATTTAAGGCAGCATCCCCCAGGTACGGACCTGAGGGTCAGGGAGGCTCCCAACCCGGAGTACATCGACCCTGGAGATGCCCTGCCACCTGCACATCCAGAGTCCCGTGATGTCGCCCGGGAGCAGGAGCAAGCTCGCCGACGAAGCTTGCCTTCCAGAGCAGCCAGCCGGGAAGAGCAATTTGACCGAGACATGGAATACCTTTGTGCAATGAAAATGGAAGTTTAAGTTTGTGTATATCTTTTTGGCTGGGATCCTTATTTTATAAGTAATTTTATTACTTTTTGTTCAAGGGGGGAAGAATGTAACGGGGGATAAGTTTCATAGGTGCTATGGATATTAGGAAGGGTTGGGCTGGCATTAGTAATTTAGCTGGGGGTATAAATCATACATTTTGGGTATATTAAACAGATTTTTCTTACCGGTGTTTGCGGGGACATGCGGGTTACGGCTGTCGCAGGTTGTTTGGTTTCGCTTGCCGTTTCGGCACAGCGATTGGCTGCATGCACTGGAAGGTTCCATTCCAAGGGTAGGGGTGTGCTCCTCGCTTAGTGGGACAGGCCCGCTATTGCGTATATAAGGAGCGCGCGACAGGTGTTTTATTGTCTGAGTTGGAGACACCCGAGGATAGGTGAGCCCTTGTTTCGAGACGAAACAGCTTCCCAGTTGCTTTGCGATAAAGTAGAATTTGCTCCGTGACGGACCAGTCCTTGTTTCGAGACGAAACAGTTGACCCCCCTCTCACGGCGAAGCCCTTAGGAGGGTAGGCATAGGTATAGGTGGTTGGGGGGGAATAAAGGTATTTAGTTTTAGGGATATTGTTACCTGGGGTTTTCGGGGTGTTCTACCCTTCCTCCCTAGGCAATCTGTCTTACCACTCTGGTTCTTGGGATGATGTAGCTAAGATGAATAGTGAAAGATAAGTCCGGTATGGTGTTCAAGTCCATTTATTTTGTAATGAATCCTTTCACAAAGGTCCTCAAATATTTCCTAGCTTTCCTGGTTTACATGCAACACAGATTCACAAATCTCCTGGAAGAACTTGGTGGTTTCTTTCACAACTCCTAAAGTTACAATTTCATCTGAGCCATTCTCTCAATATGCAGAGAGAACCTCTCAAGTCAACGGCATTGCCCAGAGTCTCTCGCTCTCTCTCAGTCAGCTAAGTTTTGGTTCTCTTCGCAATTTTTGGGCTCCTCCTCCCTGAAATGATGTCCTACCTCCTACAGAAATGACTCATATCCAATCTTAATAATTAGTTACTTTCATTAGTCCCTTTCGGAGACTTTATTTGGTACCATCAATTTCTTCCAGTGATAAAATGACATTGCTAGTTATCCTTAAGCCATACATCAACCCAACGTTGACATATCTAACTAATATCTCAGACTGGTAGACGCCGAAACATACTTAATCAAACCATTTCAGATCTTATGCATGCCCCTTTATTGACAAACTGACCAAACTGACCATCTGTATCCCAAATGTCCATCCACCCAATTTGTGTAGGAACACCAGTTTGAACGTTTCACCCTCATTTATGTCAATTCAGAGAATTTGTTATTCCCCCATGAAAAGTGAATCAATAACAGTTCGGTTAGCTTGGTCAATGCACTTTCCCAGTACATTCACCCTTCTTAACTTGACTTCAAATTTTCCTTAAATATTTATAAAATGTATATAATGTTTTCAACTCTAAATACCCTGGTTATACATGCCCCTCCCGTTGTAGAGCATGTCCCATGTGACTGATAAATGGCTTAAGTTCTAACATACATACACATATATCAAATACATAACAATTGTGAAGATTTGTATACATATCAAAAAGTCAAGAATACAATATCAATGAGAAATATCAAATAAGTAACTACATATTTGAGTCCAAGATATTTTATGGATTAAACTTCTTTTTAATTTCTCTCACAACGTTTCGAGACCATTCCAGGTCCCTTCATCAGGTGAACTGGCAGTTAGGACTATGACGTCGTCACTATGACGTCATTACTGAGTTATGACGTCACAATGCAAGTGACATCACAGTACACTAGGGAGAGTACTGTATAAGTGAGTTAGTTACATAATGATGAAATTCATGCTAAATAATAGAGTAGAAAGTTGAATTGTCAATACACAACAACTGCTAATTACACAAAGGTTACTTGATAGCAGGCTTTCCAAAAAGAATAGTAGACTCGTTTTTTCTTGTATCTAAAGTTCATCAAAAGTTCATCAAAAGTTAATCAAGAGGTCCCATGCACTTGGCAGGTATACACCCTGATCACGATTAATTGCTGGTTTATGTCTCCTTATCTCAACAGCTTCCTGTAGTTTTCTCCGACGCCAGTCATTGTTATTTCTCGAAATCACCCTAATATCATTCCACATGATTACATGACTTGGGTTATTTGCCTTGTGCTCCGATATAGCTGACTTATCATTTTGTTTGCATACTGATGACTTGTGTTCAGCAACCCGGGTGTTAATGGGCCTGAGAGTCTCGCCAATATATTGATCGCCACAGCTGCATGGTATTTGGTATACACATCCTCTAGGGTTTGGGCTTCGGTGCAAGATCCTCTACCATTTGCCCGAGGAGTGTCTTAATTGCTGTACCGCTAGAAAAGTTATATCAAAGCCCGCTTTGCTCTTGATTAGTCGGGCTATTTGATGACTGACTGGTCCGCGTAGGGTATTGTGATTCTGATCGGGATGGTTCAGGCTTGAGGCCGGTTCTGATACTTCAAGCGTTTTGGTGATAGTCCTGGAGACAAGGCGGGCTGGGTAGCCATTGAGGACGGTAAAGGTTCTCTTGAGGTAATCAATTTCACTGTTTAAATTATCTGGGTGACAGATCGAATTTGGCTCTTCTAGTGAGAGTAGCAATAATTGCTTGTTTGATCTGTGGGTGGTGACAGGAGTTGTAATTGATATACTGATCCGTGTGAGTTGGCTTCCTGTACACAGAAGTGACGAGACCTTTGTCTGTA